CAGATGAACTGATGGACACATGTTGGGTTTTTAAACCCCCGATAGCTTTGAGATCTATTTTCAGCACAATGTCAGAGCTGATGCTGTGAGCTGCAGCAGCGTTAAAAACAGATTTGGCAAGATTACATAATCCAGTCCTCCTAAATCACCGAGGACAACCTCGGCCTATACCTGCTGTCTGTACGCCTCCATCTGTCTCTCAGTCTGTCGTCACGTGTTGAACAATTTGCTTTCTCTGCTTTGGAACAATCCAGTGTGGACTGTTAGACTGTTAGTTTTCAAACCCTATGGAGGTGATGAGAAGAGAGCAGAGCAGGGAGAGCCAGAGTAGAGGAGAGGGGAAGTCCTGTGTAAAATGGCAGCCATAAAGTCCCATAAATTCAACATGTTCTACAGTTTTGGCTTTTTGCTTGGAGGTGATACAAAGTGAGCAGATAAGCAACCAAAGATAATAAACTGCTGAGCCTGATAAGTAACAAGGACTCTTAAAAGCAAACCAGTTGATTCATCAGTGAATGATGAATCCTATTTGCACATCAGTTTCTAAGGCAAAGTGGGATCTCTAAACTATATAAACTGCTCATGTAGGATGATGGTTTTATAACTAAACATTCGCCAAAATAAATTCATCAGTGATGAACCCAGATTGTCAGGATTTTGATGTGTTTGTCTCTGATTTTACCTTGGATGTTTGTTTTTTAGGGGCTCTTGTTTCATCTTGTCACATTTTCTATAGTATTTTGCATTGTTCATGGGATCTAAGGCTGATTCCGAATTGAGTAGATTTCTGTTTGTAATTTCTATTTCTTCACCTTTCAGAGAGTCGACAGTAAGAATGCTATGGTTGTTAGGAAAGGAACTCTGCAGTGCTGAATCCAGACGTCATTAAGAGACAGAAACATACATGGAAGATACTTATTGAACAAGGATTACAACCCCTTGGATATGAAATACAAAAAACAAAATTGACTGACATGTAATGAATAACTGAAGCCCTCCTACTTCCTACTCCTCCCTCCATCCCTACTTTTATCTCTATTTAGACAGCACTGATCATGGCCGCCTTAGTTTCTGTTTAGCTCTGGTCATGCTTCCGTTACCAAACTATTGTCTCCACCTGGATAACAGAATAAGCTCTTTGTTTTATTCTCATCCACGCGTTATTTATTGGGTTCTGTTTTTTTACTCCCTGCCCTGTGATGGACTGATGACCTCTCACCCCGTAGACAGCTGGAGATAGGCACCGGCACCCCTAGCGACCCCAGCAGGGATAAGGGTGACAGAAATTGGATCGATGGATCTTTCACTCCTCAAGTTAATATTGATTTTCAAAAAGCGGCATGTTGAATAAAAATCTTAGTTAACACACTGCCTTCCTGCCACATACGGCTATTTTTTCTTCATTTTATCAAACATAGCCTGGATTAAAATGCCATTTAAGGCTTAACCCATGCCTCAAATCTCTTGTGCCACTGGGGAGGTATTATCTAGTAAATTATTAATTTAAAGATGCTGTTTTTTTTCTTTCTGTTTTCTAACTCTTAGAAAGCCACCACTGAGAAATATTTATACTTTAATACTTAGTCCCGGCCTGCTGCTACCTCCCACCGCTGCACCCACCCACACTTCCCTGACCTCCATCTAAATAGAGCTGCATTTTAACCAGGGACGTGATTTGATTAGTAAATAGTTATATTATGTAAACTAATTCTTCTTCATTAAAAGTCTTAAAATAAACTTGAAACAACAGAGGATGGTGTGTTTAGGTCATAAATTACTGTTGTAGGATTATTGAAACTACATTTTTCTAGTTTTGTCAATTCACCCATTTGCAATTTCTTTTTTTTTACTAAACTGGATCTGATGCATTAAAGAGATGTTGGTATGGGAAGTTATGTATTAACCCTACATTATTTATCAACCACAAAAAAGACATTTTATACCAGACAGCAAACTAAAGTAATTTTCTATTATCTTGACATTATTCACTTCCTGCATATTTTCTGTGTGCATCCATTTAAAATTATCTTCCATCAATAGGTCAGTCTGAGTTAATGTGGTAGGAACGGTGGTCCCAATCTATAATATTTCATAGCAAAGAAACTAAATCAAAACCACAATAAATGTCAATAGTGTCTTAGAAAAATTTATATAAAGAATTTTTTTTGATAAAATAGCAATTAACTTAAATAATCGTGAGACTGAAGCATCATGTGACTTTTAAATCCTAATATATGAAAAATGATTTTTGTTTCAATCATTTTTAATTTTCCTTTTTCATCATTTTTATCAGCTATCTATTTATCTTTTTTCAAATTCTACACATGATGCTGATGCTTTATATCATACAGCTGATGAGGTAAAAAACGATTTTCCATTAATAGTTTAAAGTGGATGTAAACATTATTATATATATTTTAAGAGTAAACCTGTCCAAATAGCAATCGGAACCACAATCGATGGAAATTATTTCTACAGATAACAATATTCATTGTTACAGAACGGGATAATATTAGGGATCCAACGTGGCACCGTTTGTATCAGTAGCTGTCTTTCCGTTACAAATGTGTACAAAACTATGACAATATTCTGCTAATTTTGAAAAATGTTTTGCAATTGCAGTATTTCTATTAAATAACAAATACAATCAAATTTGCATGTAAATTGCATGGTGGATGTAAACATCCAAGTTTCAGCCATAGATCTAGACTATAGACCTATGACCTACCTCTAGACTCAAGAGAGTGCCATCATCCTCCAACTCCTTCCTGTCTGTTTCTTCTTTGTCTCTTTCAGCAACCTATGGCCTTTCTGCATGAAATGTGCATCTTTGCCTTGTGTATGTATGTGGGTTCTCACCAGGTATTCTAGCTTCCTCTAACAGCACGAAAACATGAATTGATATCTGCAAATTGCCCTGTGTGTAAATGCATGGTTTTATGTTTCTGTGTTGCCTTGCGTTGGACAGGCGACCTGTCCAGGGTCCAAGAATTACTGAAAATAGACCCCAACTCTATGTGACACTGATGGACATCTGGTAGAAAATGGATGGATGGATCATATGAATTGTTTTTACATGATAGATTAACAATAAAAATGTAATATCTTAACTTAAACGAAAAGTAAAGCAATACAAAGTGCATTCATGGCCAGTCATGCACAATACCTGTATATATTGTACGTAAAAACGGTTTGACGGAACAAAAAATAAGCATGGCTTCCCAATGGATTTGATTAAACCCTCTCTAAGACGACAAAGCAAAAAGAATACCCTTGTTGTTTAATTTGGAGTTTTGATTTAATACCATGAGACGCAGTGGTGGTTCTAGACCAAATGTACCAGGGAGCCAGGAAGGGGAAAAATTCCAGGGCCGAAAATTGCTCCCAGTCCGAGCTTGGCTAAGGGTGGCCATGGCCACCCCTGGCCCCCCATCTAGCTCTGCCCCTGATCATCAATAGAATTTCTTTGAACATTATGTCTTCAGTACACGGGCCATAACAGGGGCTAGGACATGATCTACAGGAGCGCTGGCCCCCGTTGGCCCCTGTCTAGAACTGCCTATGATGAAAGTGTTTGGGTCCCTGGACCCTGTGTGGTCAACAGTGGCGGTTCTAGACCAAATGCACCAGGGGGCCAGGAGGGGGCCAGCGTGTTTACATGGGGGCCAAGAAAAGCATGAAATAAAAAACAGTGCAAGGGATTCAAATATTTTAAGACAGCTGCATGACGTGAAATTTCTATTCAATTAAGTTAAATTAAAATATTATTAGGTCAATATACACTCAGAATTTAGGAATTTTACGTATTTTGAGTTAAGTTAAAATAACTTAAGTCATAATTTGTATGTAAATGATCAATAAAATCTGAATTAGAACTCAATAAAATCCTAATTTCAGCTGTAAAAATTAGAGTATTTCTTCAAATTTGTTTGGAAAAAAAAACATTTAGCGGATGAAAACTGGGATCCTATCTCAATACCACTGAAGCTATCACCTTATTGTTTTTAAATAATTAATAAAACAGAATTTGTAAAGAAAAAAAACATGAAATAGATCGAAAAGACCTATCAGTAACCATGTCTGCTCCAGCACATATCATCAGTAGAATTTCTTTGAGTATTATGTCTTCAGTACAGGAGCCATACCAGGGGCTAGGACATGATCTACAGGGGCTTTGGTTCTTTAAAGGGGCCGAGCTAGATGGGGGGCCAGGGGTGGCCATGGCCCATGGACCTCAGCCAATCATTGGCCACCCCTACCATTTTCCCCCCTCTAATACAAACTAATACAAGTGGAATATTCTGAACATTTTAATTTTTCATATCTTAACAATGACTTGACAACAAAGTTAATTATGCAATCAATATAATAACATTAAAGATGATAAGTACAGAATTAATGATACTATATTTAATAATCAATTAATGTGGATATTAGTACTTGTAAATGTCAATTTTATGCAGAATGATTATTGATAAAAGTAGTTCAGTAATGCCAATGGAAAAGATGTTCGCCCCAGAACTCAAACCTGAAAGGATTGTATCTACTATACCTTTTATCTAGATGGATGTTAGAAAATATGGATGTTTTGCACGTTAATTTTCCTTTTGGAATAGTGTAGATTGAGCCTGAGGTTCTGGTGCCACCCCTCAGTGTACATTGGTTATGGCCTGGCCACCCTAATAAACATTTTCTGGCTATGCCTCTGTTTGGCCCCTGTTGGCCCCTGTCTAGAATCGCCCACGGTGGCCAACCCTTAAAAAGACCAGATGGGGACCTTGGGGGATGGGGGTTAGGAAGCAGGTGCAGGAAGCAATTACTAATATTAAAAAGTTTCACTCTAAGATGGATACCTGGAAATAACACACATGCAAACAAAGGCATAAATAATATTGAAATATATAATAAATTCATAAGGTTAGACCACCTAATAACCTTTGATCTACAGATAAATAATGTGTCAGATCAGATGGCTGCTGTGGTGATCCAAACCCTCTCACCTGTCCTTTTACAAGGCTGGCAGCAAACTGCCTCATGACCGCCTCCACCGTGTAGGCACTGGACCAGCCTCTGGGGGTCAACAGCTCCATGCAGATGGCCCCTCCGTCCAACACGTAGCCGTTCTCCAGCCGCGGCGTGAGGACCCGCATGAAGGGCGGCGAGAAGGGGAAATTGTCGGGGAAGGTGACGTTGAGCAGGATGAACTCGGTGCTGGTCTCCTTCATGTCCTGCCACAGCGCCGAGTCCTTGTCCACCTGGTGCAGCTTGACGTTCCAGTCGAACAGGTTGTCCTCCACCAGCTCCACCGTGATGAAGTGGTCCCCTAACCTCCGGATCTCCTGCAGCTCCTTCATCAGCCGCCGCGTCCTCACCTGGGTGCAGTGCTGCCGGTGAGGCGCCGGCGGGGGCAGGGAGGAGGCGCTGGGGGCTTTGCTCCCGCTCCCCCCGGTCTGCTGCTTCTCCTTCCCATCCTTGCCCTGCTTGTCTTTGCCAGCCGGCTTGTCCTTGCCGTGCTGGTCCAGCTTCCTCGCCTTGATCTCCGGGGTGCTCAGCAGGTTGGTCTCGTTGGCGGTTTGACAGTGTTTATTGGCGTTGTTCTTCTGGTTCCCTTTAGTCCCCTTTAGCGAGCCCTGGTGGTGCTTCGGGTCCTCCGTGTCTCGGTCGTGCAGGCGGATCAGACCGATCTTCCGCAGTAACGTGGCCATCGTTTGGATATACTTTTACCTCTCCGCTGATCGCCCCCTGATCAGGGGGGGGAGACGCGCTCCTTTTGACTCAGACACAACCTTTATGGATCAGGAACCTTTTATTTTTTTCTTCCCCTGCCTCCTTTATACCGCAGTCCACCCCCTCTCCGTTAGCTGGATGAGCGCGCAACCGGAGAGCCTGGGCCGTGTGCGCCTCAGCGCATCGCCTCCACACGGTTCATCTGAAAGGAAGAAGCAGCAAAAACCCCCAATAAAACAACACGGATAACATTTAGCGTCGCAACTATCATCTCCACTCATCCACCCTCCTTTATAAATAAGCGATCGGACATAATGACTGCTGTTGTTTCATGATAGGACGATGCGTTCCGCAGCAGCAATTAGGTGATCATACATTTCTACAGGAGGGTGCATATGCCTCATCATCAGTGCAAACAAAAGGAAAATCAAAGATGATGTAATGGTTACATGCAGGTGAACGCACCTAAGAAATCCGACGAGTATTTAATATAAAATGTCAACATTCATTTTAAATTAGGATCAGAAAAGGACAGAAATCTAATGTTTGATCCGCCTATCTTTGACAAATCAATAGGCCTGTTTTATTATAGCTTCTATTACTTATAAAGATTATTTCACACATGATATGTTACTATATCCCCTTTTATAATTAATGCCCCGCTTCTTCAAACATAAAGCATTTTAAAGCAGCAATCCAGCAGAGGGAAATGTGAGGTTACCGAGGTCTGTGGAAATGCGCACAATGCGTCCAGCTTCCAGTCCCGCAGCCCGAGCAGCGATCCAGTGCGCGCGTCTGTCTGTGTGTCTATGAAGAAGAAAAGGCTCTACCATCCAGTGGACCTGCTGTCTGAGAGAGCTGCAGTGATGAAGAGGAGGAGGTAGGAAGAGAGGGAGGAGGAAGTTTGATGTGTGTGCAGCTGCAGCAGCTCCTGCTTTAATGCAGCCGTGGATGAACCCCCCCCCCACCCTCCAGTAAATCCCTCTCTGGCCTCCTCACACTCAGTGCTCACTGGTGGAGCTCCTTTTCAAAATAAAAGTCCTTAAAATAAGGCCAGCCATGTGACAGGGGCGGTTCTAGACTAAATTTACTTGGGGGGACCCTGGTTATGCTCTGTAGGTTTTTAATGGTGGGCACGGAAAAAAAGAATAATAACCACACAAAAATGTAAAAAGAGACAGGATCTAGAGGAGCAAAATAGAGTTATCTGGAGCTGTTTTTTAGATTCCGTTCTGTAAAATAAATTAAGTTAAGAAGTTGTTATAGACTTTACTAGCAGCTTAATATATATTTTTTTAAGGACAAACGACATAAAAAGCCACTTATATAGCAGTAATAACAATAATTTTAAGTAAAAGCAACAAAGTGGTGGTTCTCTATTAGACCAACAAAACCCAAATACTGAACTCCTTTAAAGACATGTTTAATGTGTCCAACTGGGATTTTCTGTCATGTACCTGCAGAGTTAGTAGCAGAGGTGAGTAGTCCTTCATAACATTTATTTGAGTAAATTAAAAACAAATGTAGCTTTTAGGAATTAAATTTACATTAGTTCAACTTTGCTGTACTTTTTACTTTTACTTAAAGTCGTAGCGAAACAGTCGTTCCAACCGTTGCATTTCGGAATTCTCTCAAGTGATGCATGACTTTACACGAGTGAATAAAGTGAATGCGATTGGTCGTTTATTAGGAGGGCGGGATTGTCGTGGCGGAAAATTTGCAAGTAAGTTTGATTGTGGCCGGTGTCTCGGGGGCATCTTGCTAACCAGTTAGCAACTTAGTGCTAGTAGGTTCCCAATAGGATTGGGACCAAGTAGCACTAAATTGGTGACTTAGAAACGACACTGTCAAAGGAACGCTATGGACAGAGGAAACATGCAAGAGGAGGAGAGTTTAGTGTCGGAGGTCATGGATGAGTCTCCTCCGTCATACATTTTTTATTTAGAGGAGGAAAGTGGGGACAACGTTTTTTTTTTGGAAGAGGACACAAATGGCGTAAATATCAGTAAGCAGAGTCAGCAGTTACTTACTGGTCCACGACCTCTTAGGGCCCCATCACTGACACCAGGTAGGCCCCCTATGTAAATGTAGACTAGGACGTCTATTTTCAGATGGAATGGTGCGAAAAATTCCTGGGGGATGTTCAATAAGCATCTCCCTGAAATTAGTTTTTGGAACTTGGGATGTCTGTAACATGTGGTGGTGCGCTGTTTTTCCATGTGTGATATGTGAAAGGAACTGATTCTTATTTCTTATTTCAACCGTTGCGTATATTAGCTGTGACATATGAAACAAGATGCTATGACCGAAAACATTTGATTGACAGATGACCGTTAATATATGATTGGCCGAATTTAGGTGTACAAGCTGACATAAAACTAACTGCCCTGCATAAGATAAATGAAAAAAAAAAACATCTTGTTTAATGGATTTTATCAGGATGTGTCTGTAAAACCAATTTGACAGAAAGGGAAATACTAAAGCAAAACTGATTAACATCACATTCACATTCATACAGCCTTCATTTTGATGTTGCTTTCAGCTAAGTCAGTCCTAGTTTATTAAAAATGTGTTTGCCAAGTTTTCACTTTCGTTTGTATAAAATAATTTACATAGAGGCAAATTATTACTTTCTATACTGACTTAACCTGTAAACATTTGCAAGTCATATTTAACTAGGAAAAGAACCAGAAGGCATAGAAACCATCTACAAAACAGTTATCTGGTTATTACACTCTCACAAATTATTTCAGCAAAATTTTAAGTTTAAATTTTATTTTTAGATCATTTTAACTTAATCCTATAAAATAAACCTTACATGAAGCATAGTCATTAGCGTAATATAGCTTATTTATTGAAAGTACATAATTGTCAGGTAAATGTATTTAGAATTGATAAAGTATACTTACTAAAAATTCATACTAATTAGTGTATTTATTTCAAATACATAAAGTTAATTTTTTATTGCATAAGATTCAGGTTATTTTTATGCAATTTAAATAATGAAACACTATTTAGAATTAAAATGCTCTACTTTGAGTAAGGCTACTTTATTAATACTATACTTAAATAAGCTTTATTATACTAATAGATAAGCATCTAATAAGCTTATTTTATAGGTTTATGCAAACTTAATCTAAAAAATTTTAAATGGAAATTTCATCTTAAAATCTTAAAATTTGAGTGAAATATTTATGAGTGTAGGCTAGAATAGTTTTATAAATATGAATACAGAGACTCTAGTACCATTTAATATTTTATATTATTTTTATCTTTTATAAAATATCTTAAAAATGCTTTTTTATTTACTTTAATGTTGAATTGCCTTCCGAAACCTATACAAGAACAGCTTTTTCCGAAACAGCACGACACTTTACGACAATAGGATGATCTGTTACTGCTAGTTTTCATGGTAACGTGGCTACGTCACAGTAAACTATTGGAGCGCGTTGGCTGGTTGTAGGCCGTAAAGTGAAACGGTATTCCGGGGTTTTTGTAGTGAAAGCGGCTCCTAGTAAATAGCTATCATTTATCGGATGGATTTTCGATACGTTGCTGTAATAAAAGCATTATTTGGGTGAACAAAAAGATTAAAAATGGCTGAAAAGTTTGATAATCTTGAGGAGCACCTGGAGAAATTTATCGAGAACATTCGACAGCTGGGAATCATCGTCAGTGACTTCCAGCCGAGTAGCCAGGCGGTTCTGAACCAGAAACTGTGAGTTAGCTTTTATTAGCTACATGCTCTGAGAGCCCCACGGTAGAACCGTGTGCATTAAATCGCTCTGTTGACTCATTTTTCAGGAACTTCATGATATCTGGGCTACAAGACATCGACAAGTGCCAAAAGCAGCTTAATGACATCAACGTCCCCCTGGAGGTGTTTGAGTGAGTCCTGCTGCATGATGGGAGCTTATTTTGGCTGCAGTTTGCTTCACATGATCCCTCAGCTACTCGGATAATTTTCTTTCTGCCTTTACTCCCCTGCGGCTATCACAAATGCTACTATATCTAGCAACGCCGAACTCCATAGCATAATTAATCGATTTGAGATCATTATCGTATTTAGGAGTGCTTGTTGATTCCGTATGGGTTATAATCACAGTATTTACCTCTTATGCCTGTAGGTAAAAATTCGGCATCTGCATTTATAAACATTTCCTGAAATAAGGTCATAGATCAAGAACATTTAAAGCTATACTTCTCAGATCCTTCCTCCCAGCAGCTGTAAGGCTTTATAACCACCACTGTTGCCAACAACCTCTATAAGTTGTTACATTCATGCTGAGTTTTGCACAGTTTCTGTCTTAGATAAATAATACTGCTGTCATTTTGCACAGCTCCGATGTTGCTGCTATTCTGAAATATCCATTACTGTAAAAATGTCCCTAACTTTATATTGGTTATTCATTCTCCAGGTGATCAGTTTTATATTGTTATAACACTTTACAGTACAGTATTTTATTCGTTTATTTTTATCTTCACTATTATGTTATTTTTATACACTTTTCCAAGGTCCATATTTGTGTGACCACTTCCTTTGTGGTGTGACCATAAAGGGATTTTCTATTCTATTCTATTCTATTCTATTCTATTCTATTCTATTCTATTCTATTCTATTCTATTCTTAATGTAGAATTTGGGGATATGGTACTGGAAAAAACTACACATTAAGTTTGTGCTTTATCTGTAAAATGCCTCATCATGACCTGCTCCTGTTTAACTGCGTCATTTTGAAGGTACATCGACCAAGGACGAAACCCTCAGCTGTACACTAAGGAATGTCTGGAAAGAGCCTTGGCAAGGAACGAGCAGGTCAAAGGAAAGATAGACACTATGACGGTGAGAGATTATCACCGGGAATCTCACATTACTGAGAAGCTTCCCATTCAGTCTGAATGGAAAGTTTATTCACAGATTTATTGCAGTTTGTTTATGTTTAGCATAATCCATATATAAAGGGGTCTGAAGCATCCAAGCTAAGGGTTTATACTAACTTGAGGAAAGCCTGTAAAAGGTATGAACACCCTTATAAATTTTTAACAGGAGAAATTTAGCCACATGTTGGTGTCCTTGTTTCGGGATGATTTCAGCAAACACTCTTATTCTGCATTTATTAAATTTGTTTTAAGTTCTAGCAGGATTTGTTCCTTGTCTCCTCGTTTAAACAGGAGCAGTAAACATAATGACGATTTGACTGAATAATTTATATAAATTTCATATTAATGCCATTTTCTTTTTCTTTACTGTTCCATTTTTTAAAGATGGTTAACTTCTAAAATAACTTCAGTGAGCATAGTGCAAAATAAAAAAAACAAAACAACTAAAAGGTTAATATTTTATTTACCAGATCTTAAACATCTAATCTTCAGCATTGAATAATGATACTTATGACTATATTTGAGATGGATAAAACACAGTTTAATAGTAACATACGCAGTTATAGATAGTACAATGCATGCAATACATACAAATGTAAAGCGGTATTTTTAAGACTACATCCACTTTATACTCATTAGGTTTGTGGAAGATGGTGTTTAGTTTGCTCTGCTTGCACTTTATTCACAAAATCAAACAATAGAATACATTTTTTTATTTAAAACAAGTGTCAGCTAAAAATCACTCTTAATGTGATGGAAACAGGCTCTAGATTAACAGAAACATGTCTAACAACGGAACTAAAACCAACATGGAGTAGAACCTCTCAATCAGTGAGCTTTTCATAATGGTGGTGTATTTTGAGAAATAATTACCAAAAGTATCTCAAAATCAGTCACAGATCTGCCTGTATTTTAACCGGGCTTTTAAATTAAATTATTTGGCATGCTAGCAACTTGCTTGGGCTTCTGGTGGCACAACTCTCATATCTCCATGGCTCTGGGTTCCAGTTATCAGTGTATTTAGTCTACCTTTCTTCCTGGTGCTTCTTTAAAAGAGGCTTCC